TATGATAATGCATTATCAATGGCCTATCGCATGTACGGCAGAGATAAGTTGACCTTGAACACATTTCCTCAAGATATTGTCCTAACGTTCGATCAGATTCTCTGTAGTATTCCATTACCAATGTTTCTGGACCAATACACGGTGTTCCAGTCACCGTGCAAAACTTGGAAGATAATACGGTAATGTTTTGATGAGCATAAGGACTAACAAGTTTATTATATACATAATTCTCCCACGCACGCATCTGAGCCATATGTTCATTAAAAGCTTCAGAAAGTTCTCCCTCAGCGCAAACTTGTTCAGGAGTACGCAAGATGCCTGACAAACCACCAACGGTGGATGAAGATGACGAAAGTGGTTTCTCCCCGTCTTTAAATAATCCAGAAGGCCACCCTGTTCGCTTTTGTGATAATTCTGTAAAATTACGTTCTGCTTCTTTCATTCTTATAAGTAGATATGGAGCTGGAAATTTAATAAAAGGTGATACAGACAAAATGGTGGTCTCATAAGGCCGCATAATATTATCTGTTGTCTGAGTGTTAACAGTCATAATTTCAGGATTCTTTTCGCATTCCATTATTTTACCTTCTGGTATTATAGAAGGAGTCTTCGCGAATTGATTACTTAAAAGAGCTGTCTCCAATTTTAGATTGTAAACAACGAATACCATTAGATCTGTTATTCGCTTTATTTTCTCAAGAGTACTTATATCACCACCCCTTAAAACAATAGTACATCCAAGTTCACGTGGACATTTTTCGAAAACCAAATACGTTTTTCTTCTACTAGGAATAAGTTGATGAACAAAAGTTTTCACAGAAAAAGTACCACATTTTCCTAATCTAGGTTCTAATGCTAACTTATCAATTGAAGGAATAATATCAGCTCTTGTACAGCGTGCAACTGCTTCAATGACTGAGGGCTTTACATTAAGAGCAACAGCTACATTTTTTTCTAATAAAAATTGTAATGCCAATCTTGCAACCGTTTTTTCAACTAAAACTAAATGTGGTCGCAATGCAACAATACGAGCTACCAAATTTTTCAAATGTTCTTCTTCTTGGGCCAACACTGGTTGCAATGACATCAGTTGATTTTCAACTCTATGATATTCTAAGGCAAATGTTAAAATAAGTACGCGAGGGTTTTGAAGTGTTCGTGACATCTTTTTGTGCGCTAGATTTTTTGAACATACAACCCCATGCACATATTCTGAATCTTGGGGAATCCCTCCGGGTATTTTTTTAATCTTCACATAATGACGAATATCAATTTCATCGCCATTACGAACATTTGGGTTTAAGTTATCAGAAACTTTCATCATCAATTTCATTATGACATCCTCCCAACCATCTGATAAATTAATTTTAGATTCCAAGAGAAATTGACGTAATAATCTTCTCATATGATCGAGTGAAACCGGATTGATCTCCGGTTTTATAGGCATAGATGATGACCTAACGTGACGCGAACTAAATGGTGATGAAGGCCTTTCTATTGGAGAAGAAATATCCATCGGTTGCATAATGTTGGTGTTTATTTGTCTAAGAAATACACCACCCCGTCGGTTGATTCGATTTGGCCTACCATTTGTAATGCTTCTTCGCCTTGATGATGAACTCTTATCTCTGATCTGAAAATGATCTGTCCTTTGTCCTTTTTGAAACGCTTTAAGCAGGTGAGAAGTTTTTAAGTTGTATTCCCATGTTTCATCATCGCTACCAGCATATTCTGATACTGCTGGCGTTGGAGTAGCCGATTCGCCATTTGTATGTGAATTTGCAGATAAAAATGTATAGATATTTGATGAACTAGTCAGGAGATCATAATGTCCATCATCTTCATCATCGCTCATAAAAGGAGCGATTTCTGGATCCAGAATAGCTTCGGGATTTACAGCTGGCGTAACTTTGTCTTCCTCAGTAATATTACGTCTAAAAGGAGCAGGAGATGATGATAAAGTTGCGCTATTTTCTTCTGTTATAGTATTTGACCTTGACCTTGCCATGAATAACGAAGAACTAGCAGCGGATAACATTTTTTTTATACTTATACCATCATTTATTGAAAGAGTATCTGGGGAGGGAGCACGTGGTGGTGGTGGTGCGTAAGAATTTTGACCAGCTAGATATTGAATTTCTGTAGTGGCTATATTTGTACCATGACTATCTGGTAAAACGGATCGTTGAGAAACAGGATTATTAAATTCACTTTTCTCTGTCATCCCTTGTTCATTATCTACACTAATATCTTCACCATATTCTTTCATTAATTTTAGACAGAAATTGCAAACACGCATTAAACCCTCATGATTAAAATTTCTACCAGAAATTGAATTTGATGCACATCTTGAACAAAAAATTTGTCCTTTTCGTATCCAAGTTCATGTGATTTATATTTATATTTTAAAAAGTTAGCAAATTTAGTTAAGCATAAGAAAATTGATATATATTTTTAAACTTTGGTAATTACCACAAATACGACAATGATGCTTTCTTCGAACCATTGTAAATGTCGATTTACAATCATAACATTCTCTACAAGTATCGTCGGCCATCCAATAATCTTTATTAACTCCTTCACCACGCAACCTTCTAATAACCTTACTAATTGAGTAACTATTTCCAACTGATGAAGTCGTTTGCACTGAACGAATTGATCTCGTATCTGAGACATCCTTTGACTTATATGCATGAAGTTGATATGAATGTCCAGGATCATATACTTGATTTTGCTGAGAATTGATACCATTCCCAATAATTATACCATTATTATTTCCATTTCCATTAATATTTGCGTGCTCTTGACTGCTATTATCAGGTTCTATTATGACTGTCGGGGTATTACCAAAAGCTGGCTCCAAAGAAACAACTGGAGGAGCAGGTTTAATTCCATGTACAAAACCTTTATTTTCTTTATCAGGTAAAAGAATTGGCTCTTTAGAATTTAAAGGTTTAAAGTCGGGAGTTTGCGGAGGAGAATTTAGTGATCCACTTTCTACTAAAGTCTCGGAAGAATTGGTAGCATTTGAAGTTGCCTGGATAGAAATTGATGGCGTACTTGAAGTTGTACTTGAAGTACTAAATGAACTCTTTACGCGCTGAAATAATTTTGAAATAACGTTTTCATTATCTTGTTCAAAGGGCCTATCAAACTCAAAACTTGTTAATGTTGCTATGTCAGTATTAAGGGTATTATTACTTTGCCGATTAGACATTATTAAAATTATTAAATTAAATAATTTAAGATCGAATATTGACCTTCAATCAAAGTAAGATATTATTTACAAAGAGAGAAAAAAGAATTCGAAATTGCAAACGCAAAAGGAGTAATTCGAAGAAACATGCAAGATCAGCTGAAATGCCATGGCTGTTTGTCAAACAAAGCGCCTAAAATATATCAGATATACATGACGTTCATCATTGATTATCTAATTTTTTTTAGCTATTAATAGAAGAAAACCTGCATAGAATTAAATGAAAAATTACTGCGCCAAATTTAAGCAATTCAAAATTAATAACGCCTTAACCAACCAAATTACTCTGTTAACTTTGCCGAATTAAGCTAGGTTAGCCACAAAAGATGGGTATAAAATACGAATGAGATTTTTGATTTACAGACTAATTCTAATTATGTTGATATTTGTTATCAGGTTTCTTCTGCTGCATTTTTATTACTAGAATACAAATACAAGGTACCTAATAAAGAAATGGTTCTTATACTTTATTGTTCCGTAATTCCATATTTGCTTATATTCTTCGAAGAAAGTTCATTATCATATAGGCATAAACATTACTTACTAAATTTCATATTCGACTATTTCTCTTTAATAAAGGAACGCTATTTTCACTGATCAAGCGTTCTCGTCATACCGCATTTTGAAGGAAGTATTGGCGAAATATGACCTCGTCTCTGAAGGGACAGAAGTTATACCCCTTTTCACATCACAAATCCACGAAATCCCAGACGAAAATAAGCATCTCGAACTGTGTATGGATGATATCAAGTTACGGCCTCCAGTTGCTAATATTAGAACTCGGTTTCACCAGGCATTCCGACAACCTAATTCCAATATATCTATGACAGTTGACTCTGGTGCCGATCACCATTACCCCATTATAGCTATAAGCAGACAAACACCGACTCAAGGTATTATTTACGGCTTGATGTCAAGAGCTGGCGATAGAATACTAGCCAATCAATCAGAATGGTACCGTACTTTACCAATCTAGCTAGTCCGGAGCGATGACCACCAGCTCGGAAGAATTTACTGAGCCACAGATTGTGCGACAAAAAATAAGTCAGGTCTTGTGCGACAGCCGTTAAGGCGCTAAAGCATATTAATTTTCACATATCGTATAACTTTATCAAGTTTGGCTTCTATGCTAACAAATAACCATGGTCATATGAATCAAAAATTTTTTACTCGTCTAATAAAAATCTCCCGGTATATTATAATGTTATTTTAATATTTTATAACAAGGACAGCACGTTTTTAAATTTTAATAGCCAAAATTTAAAGACATAAACATTAAAAGTACGGTCTTTTTTAACCATATGACAGCATTCATTTAAAGAATGACAATCCGATATCGGATGACCAAGATGAATGGTCGTAATGAAAATAACCTTATGATTACTAATTACCTTTTTTTCATTTCCATTTCATTGTGGATAGCCTGGCGACCTCAAAATTGCGCCTTTCATTACATATGTTTTTGTCCATACTATTTGCTTTTAAAGTATGTCCTGTGTTGCGTGTAGACTTACTTTCACATTTGTTTTGGGGAAAAAATAGCTATTTGATGAAATTTCCTATTGATTATCTTGAATAACCAAAATTTTTAATTTCATGGTCAGACTAAATGATCCGCTCATCTTTCTTCTTAGCTTGTCATTCAATCTAACAACGTGATTATTCCAAATTTCTTATATAAATAAAAAAGAAAAGTGCTAATTAAAAAATATTAAAATTAATTTTTAAACACATTAAACTTACTATGCAACGTCCTATTTCTTTCACTTTTATTATCATTGTAACCATCTGTAGCTTAATGAATATCATAGCTTTGATGCCAGCCACTGAAGGTAAGAAGCTCTGAAATTTTTTAGTTTCCAAATACAGTGATTTATATATAGCATATGAGATTCTATTTAGGAATTGGGGTGGTGATAGTCATGGTAATTATATCTGATTTAATTGAGCTAAATTCCATGAGTGATTTGATATCATGTATATTCTTTTTGATTTTAATTTAATTTTATTTATGTACAGCGAATTGTTGTGTTTGGGAGGAGAACTATCAACGCAACTTCATAACTTACATACCTCCAAATAACCAGGGATCTTATTATTGTTTCAGTTGTGCGACCTTTAATGGTATGGAACAACATGGTGCAGATGTAAGAAATGGCATTCTTACTCAACAAACGTTAGATTGTAAACGGTGTAAATCACGATCCGATTATAAAGGTGGTTATAACAAAAATACCTGTTTCCGCGTGTATGGTGACCGAAACTATGCAACTCTTGCTGAATCACCTTACGAAGAATGTGAAAAAATCAGAGATTCAAAATAAGACCGCATATCTTTGCATCAATCATTGGTCTTGTATAATGTACTTTGCAGATACTAATTATATCATAAAAAAAAAAATACTCTTCAATATCAATATTTATTTTTTTGCGATCTTCTTCCAATTTTCATTGCCTTTTTTTATCCCTACAAAGTTTTTCTCTCGTTTCATTTTGTTATCCCTTCGTAAGTTATTTTATTCCTTTCTGTTATTCTCTTCACAAGTACTTTTTTTCATTTTTTTCATTTTTTTCGTATTCTATTTTATATTTTATATATATTCGCAATTTTTTATGTATTAGTTGCTCCAGCAACGTTTTTTTATTTCATAAATAAAGCTTCTTGTTGTAAATCTTGAAAAATGTCACGTGTAATGATGTAATATAATCGGCTAACAATTTTGTACATCATCTTAATTTTGCATATATATATTGGGCAAAAGCATTATGAATCGATATAAAAAAAATCTATCATTTCTTTCCAAGTCGGAAACCAAAATATACTTTTATATCCATAACCAGCTTTACCTGTAACTGCAGTCGGATGCATATTTTTTTCACAAGTACAGACACACATATATAAACACCATGTCTTCGAAAGCCTTTACACCTTCTTCATCCACCTTAATAACGGAAGAAATTTCCACTATAACAATGTCAGACGTTGTTAAGGATTTCAATACAGAGAAGCTTATTGAATATTTGAAAAAGAAAGACTTGAAACTTAAGGAGCCTTACTTTAAAATTTTACGACAAGAAGAAATTGCTGGTCTTGATTTTCTTAAGCTAACTGAAGAAAAACTTGAACGCTATGGCATGAAAGGAGATCCAGCAACAAGACTTATAAACTTCATCAAAGGTTTTAGCCAGAAGTTACAAAACTATTCCTCGCTTAAAACTCTCAATGACCTGAAGAAAATGTTACGCAGAAATAAGGTCAATAGGGAGGATATAACAAACATCAAGCAATTTACTCCTGTTATGTGATTACTCTCTTAATTTTTCAGATTGGAGTATTACATATATTAACTTATTTTTCTGCAGTCTTCAAGTAGATTAATGATGATGATAAGGTGTTCGAACACTGTATAGAGGATATAATTTTAAAGCTTTCAAACATAGAGACTATGACTGATGCTAATGATATGATGCGTTGTGAATTTATTTCAGCGATATACACACATCAATTGCTATTACTAAAAAACTTACTTCTCAAGATATTTTTATAATGTTGCAGAAGGATATTTCAGGAGAAGATTCAACCGGTCGAGTTGACTATGCAATCAAAGCTCTAGAAACCTTTTATGTATCACCAAAGAAAAACCTCATAATATTGAGATCAGATATGCGCAAATGCGTCTACTACACAGATCTGTATTTTTAAGTAGATTCAATATTAACCCATTTTATTTTTCTTAGAATCTGGCACATCTTGAAAGTGTGTTCCAGACAAATAAAGAAATAGGCTGCAGATCAAGCATTTGGAAATGACTATTTCAATTATATTTATAGTATTGTAATCACAAGTATGAAGTGACATTTTATCATAAATACTTCTGATAGTATATACTTTACAAATGAAAGCAAATATCAAATTAATCTCACGAAGTCTGCCGTTAAAGAAAATCCAGAGTTATTTTAAAACAACATAAAAAAGATAATAAGTATTATTGTTGGGCTGTTAAAAGATAGGGTTGGTGTTAATAGTTCTCAAACTAGTAAGAGGGTTAGAATCGAAAAAATTATCAAAAATAATATGTATTCTGGGTTACGTCCCAAACTATGTATTTAATTTTTACATGAAATAATAAAAAAATTCTTGGTAAAAGCTGTAAATCAAGTTCACAAGTTTTCTGAAAATTTGAAATAACCAGAATGTTTTTACTGATTTTGAATACTAGCGTTTGATATTACACAGATATATAAACTGAAATAGATCTATTAAAGCAACGTATTGCTGAATTTGAGGTTGAGTTCAAGACCAAGAATTCTGAGATTCCCGAACTTAGAAAAAAGCTTGTTGAATTTGAAGCCAGTGATGTCAAAATTCACAAACTTAGAAAGAAGGTTGCTGAGGTTGAGATCAAAAATGCAGAGCTTATAAAGCAGATAATGGAAGAGAATAACAGATGTGACGCTAGAATTGAGAATCTAAAGAAAAATAAGACGAATACCACTGATAGAGTTACTGAATTGGAACAGAAGCAATTGCAAAATAATAATATTCCTAATAACAAATCATTTAACTTCAATTCAGATGCAGACTATCATAAAAAATCATTGTAGGAGAAAGAGATGGATAATTTCTTGGATGAGACTCATAAGAAAAGTATTGGTGAAGATATTAGGTGATGTAATAAGAAGAAGAAACTCCAGTGTAAATCAGCTAACCAGGACAATGCCACTGATACTGCTTATGTATCAGAAATGGTTAACGGAGATGAATTTTTATATGAGCTAGAGATTAATGAAGTTACCAATTGTAGTTCCTTAGAACTGTCTCATAAAATAGAAGTACAGTCAAACCTTGATATAGCGAACCCTTGATACAGCGAATTTTTAAATCAAATATATTAAAATTACCTTACTATA